TTGTAAAAGGGAAAAACAAAGATGACGTTAGTTTCTTTTAAAAATATCCAACAGCTTATGGGCAACTTATGTATGCTTTTAAATAGTGATATTGTAATATATTATTCAGCTGACAAATTGTTGAGCTACAGAATATCTAAAGCAGTGCTCCTCAACCTTGGCTACACAATAGAAGCACCTTGGGGAATTTTCAAAAGTCTCACTGCCCAGGCCACATGTAGACTACTAAAATCAGTGTATCTGGGGATGAGAGCAAGACATCAGGATTTTTTAAAGCCCCTCAACAGATTCTGCAGCTGTGGTTAAGAACAACTTATATAAAGCATTACCATATTGTGAAGGGGAGGATAAGGTGGATGGGATCTTTAAGCTTCTTTAGTTCCGCTGGGACACAAACGAAAGATCTAATAGGATGACTATTCTGAAGAGTTTTCCATGTGGAATGGAAGTAAAACCTTCACTTTCTGGCTGTTTTATTCAGTTCACTACTTAATACAACTCTGACTCTTACCCTCTATTATGTTTGTAAGTAATCTAAATGGTTTATGCATTAAAATCTCCTTTTCAAGTAAAATCCCTTGATAATGAACTTCAGGTGACATGTATATGGTTTTTGCTGCAGATATTATTTGAAGTCAGATTTATAGTTTACAGAAATTAATACATTGAATCTGGGTAACATTTTATAGTTGAAACATAACTTCCATATATTTAATTTAAACCTAGAGTTGAAAACAGACTTGATACTTGTTATTTCTGAAAAATAAACATGAAAATAAGTTCATTAAACTAGAAGTTTAGGTTTCTAGAGTTCTTGAATATTTTATCCTTTTTATTGTGATGGCTGGTTTGAAAGTTTAGCTGGTTTTATCACTGAAGGGGAGCCTCAAAGCTTACTAAATGCTTCTTTATGGCTAAACAAAGTTCATTACTCCGCTTACATAACAAATGACACTCATTCTAATTCTTTCAATGTCGTCAGTTTTGGCATTGATTATATATGTTCATTTCCACATGGAACTTATTTTAATCAGGTTAAAAAGACACCAGTTCTTTGGGTGACATTAAGGGATATAGAAGTATGTTTTCATTAATAATAATTTCCATTTGTTCAGTAGCTTTTTCTTTTCTAAGCAATTGGAAGTATTCATGAGTTCACTTGAACACTCCATAAGGCAGTTCTCTAATTCTGAGTTATAGTTCAGGCAGCTTTAATTAATATCATTTGATAGAGAGGGCATTGAGATCATGTGGTGAATTTTACAGTAAGATTAGGACACAGGACTCAGATTGGGGTCAGAAAAAACCTGACTTAAAATTCCAGCTTGGCCAATTACACTTTCCATAAATTATTTTCTCTCTGCCTTGGTTTCTTCACTTGTAAAAATAAAATAAGATTATTACGAGGATTAAATAAAATAGTATATGTAAGCAGGCCCAGTTATATAATTAGTTGGACCTGATGCAAAATGAAAACGTGGGCTCCTTTATCAAAAATTATTAAGAATTACAAGATGGTGACAGCAGGGCATTAATCCAAATGCGGGGCCCTTTTAAGTGCAGGACCTTATGCAACTCTATAGGTCACATGCCTCTGCTGCCATACCTGTGTGTGAGAAATAAGAGTGTAAAACACATAGCAGGTGCTTAATATATGGTAACTGCTGTCCCTTTCTTTGCTATTTTCATTCAGATTTCCTTTCCCTGAATCAAAAAATGTGTATTCACTATAATCAGATTTTGTTTTACCTGTAGTATTTCAATAAGTGACTACTGTTCAACTAAAGTTTCCAAGGTTTACTTTAACAGAAATTATTGTGTGTTATTATACTGAGTAGACTTTCTTTGCACCACATTTATTGTGTCTCCTTGCTCTTAAAAATGTTGAATAATTTAGGTTTTTCCATATTGTACCTGACCAAATTTACCATTTGTTAGATAATTTAAATTGAACTTTGCTTTTCTCTTTATGGCTCTTTTATAGCACCACTAGAAATGTCTTATTAAAATAGAATGTTTTGATTTATATGCCCCAAATGTACATTAGAAATTTTATGTTACATCACTGCTCTTTACACTTAAATCACTACTCTATAATTTTCATGTGAAGCTCCATAAAGTCTTTACATGTTTTAAATGTTTTTCTCCATTTTTTTCCTTGTTAAATTTGGAATACAAGTCTTCTTTTAAAACACACAGCCACATATACTTACTAAAAAGGTCTGAATTTTCAAAAGAAATATAACTTAGGAAAGTAAAAAACATATGAAATAGTTTCATTATGAGAGTGAAATATATAATCTCTCAGCCTCTTTTAATGTTTTTTGGTTTGTTTTTCTATCTTTAGATGAAGGAGGTTGGGACTGATAATCATTAAGTTTCTTCAAATATTTGAATTCTTAAAATATTCTATTTCTTCTGTTTTCTGTTTCTATACCCTCAGTGCCAAGCTTACAGTGTGTGTGTGTGTGTGTGTGTGTGTGTGTGTGTGTGTAGAAGTTTATTTGACTCTCACAAATTCTTTTTGAATGTCGTTGGTGGGTAGCAATGCTCTCATTTTATCAGGAGAGAAACTGACTCTCAGGAAGAGTTAATAACTTGGCCAAGGACAAGTGGACAAGTGGCTCATAAACGTAAACATGAAACTAGAACTCCAAATTCTGAGACCTAGTCCTAGTATCTCTTTCTTGAACACTAAGCTAAATGAAGAAGGGGACAGGTTAGAGAAAGAAAAAGAGATGAAAGAAATCAGGGTAGTAGTCAGTAGTGTGCTGGAAAATATTTAATAAACAACTGGTTGGGGTTGGGGGAGTGCCTTAATTCGCAGTGTTTGCTGATGCTCCTGGTATAATTTTTCCCACAACTTCAACCTATTAAGATGATGTCACTGAAGGTGTGACTGGGAAGAGGAGCACATGGCAATGTGCCAATATGAGCTGGCCAATTGCAAAAACAGCTTTAAGAAACTGACTCAAGATTTATAATGGGATGAGAGGTAGCATAGTTTGGGGACCAGAACTGGTTGTTTAAATGCCTTTAGGCTTTCTTTCACTCCAAAGTCTTTTTTATTGAAACATAATGATATTTGTATATATATTCATGGGGTGCATGTGATATTTTGTCACATGCACAGAATGTGTAATCAAGTCAAGGTGTTTAGAATATCCATCACCACGAGGACTTATCATTTCTCTATGTTGAGAACATTCCAAGTCCTCACTTCTAGCTATTTTGAAATGTACAATACATTCAAAACCATTTTAGCCTGAAACCAAGGCAGAAAAAACTGGGACACCAAAAGGTGTTATATTTAAGTCCCTTCCTTAACATATAGGCAGTTCTACAATTCTGAGTTATAGTTCAGACAGGTTTAAGCATTCAATTGAATGTTTCAATTTTATCTCTCAGTTTGAAAGGCACTTGATGTTATCAAGCTGGGAATGAAAACATTTGAGAGCTACTATAAATACATTTTTCTGAAATAATCATAATGTTCTAAACTCAATACATGTGTAAACTTTAAAACTTAGTAATTCTCTTACTAGTCAAACTTTATATAATTTACATATTTTTGAGAAATAGTATTAAAATAGCCTTTAAATTTGGGGTGTTCAGAATAACTGCATGCTAACACTAAACCTACTTTTCAATGTAGGTGAGAACAGAGAGCATTAATCTCAGTGGATTTTCAAATGCATTGATTCTGGGAGGAAAAAACCATGTAGCTTTTAATAAGAATAACTAAATCAGAGAACTCGCTTGAGTTATGATACTTGTGGGCAAGTAATATCTATGAACAATTTTTTAACCTCCTAAGATGCCTTTGGTAAAGCATAATTTAAAATTGTATTAACTTTTAAGAGTATCTGGAGAATTAAAAACCCCATATCATTATCTGATTAAAGGCACCTGTCTGGTTTATAATACCTTAAATTCAACACTTGACCTAGATTAAGGCAGGAGACGGAGAAAATTATCTTTAAAAAGTACCTATGATTCTGAGAATGATTAGTACATAATCTAGGCTTCAGGAAGGATATTAAGAAATAGAGGAGATGTTTAAAGCCCCTGGAATCCAAATGATAAATGACTCTTAACAATATAAAGGTAAAATCTGGAGAATGAAGTTAATTTTGATATGTTTAGAAAGTCAGGTGAGGAGATACGTAAAACTTTGATAAGTAATAATAAAATGAAGCTTTTATAGACCATATTAAAAGTTAGAAAAGTCAGTAGGAATGTAGCCTATCTATCTGAATAATGAAATAAGAGAAATTAATTTTAAGAGTGTATTAAGATCTAAATGTTTTACTTTCTAAGATTAATATAGTTCAATAGATGCAATCCCATTCAGTTTTCCAGTCCTAAGGAACTAAAACAGATTCTACTATGGAAAAGCAAACCTTAATTTTAGATAGGTTTGAAGAATGCAATTGTTTTCGCTACATGGCATTTATCAGTAACTTGAAGCATGTCAGAAACATTTCCCTTCTAACTGTTCTTTATAGTTATCTTCACATCTTCACAGCAAAACTTTATCTCTGCACCATTCAACAATCTGAAGATAGGACTTTTAAAAGATATCTTCCCACTGAAGGGGGAAATAAACCAGTTTACTTTCACACTGTAGGTTTCACCAGAGGACTTGGTAAATATACCTAATCCATTGAAGTCCTTTATAACATTCAAAATCTGTACTGTAGAGCTAAATTGGAGTGAGGAGTGGGTAGGACAGGGTGTAGGATAGTACTGGAAAAATTATTCCACCGCATCAATTTTTCCTTTTGTAAAACGGGTATTTTACCAACTATAAATCCCTATTATGTTGTAGTACTTAACCACTGGAAAGAAGGATAAAAGTCCCCACAAAGAGGACCCTACTCCATTCAACGTGGTGATGGCATTGTGTCCTGGACCACATTAACGAGGGAAGGCACACCATGGATTGTTTGGACTTTTCTTTCCTGAAAATTCATCAGTAATAAAGAAACACTTCTCACCTGCTCTGGATATCCATCCATACTCCTTTGCCCTTTCGTTTGAATTAAGCACCGTCCAGATTGAGGTCCCCGGGTGGCCTGTGAAGAGGGGATCTGAATAGGCAATGGTGACTGAAATTGCTGAATGGTCACTTTGTTTATATTTCCTTCATATGGCTGCTGCTCCCGGCTGCGATGCTGAAGGCTTTGGGACCCCATCAACGTCTGGATATGGCTGCCTGCCTGTGGAGAAGATAATCTGTCAGGCAAAGATTCATGGTGCTGAAAGGATGTGATTAAAGTAGAAAGCATGTACAGAATACTTCTCTGGTAAAGCGGCACCATTTGGGCTCTCAGTCATGGCCGGAAGGGATAATGAAGAAACAGTAAGGGTCTGCCTACTGTGGTTTGTGAAAATGTTAATATTGGAGCAAGGTCACATTAAATACATTCATAGTCATCTGCTGGCTTGCCAGAGATAATTTTAACCTCACTTTAAAGGAACAAAATTCAGTTTGAAAAATCTCAGGAAGAAAATTAAGTCACAACTTAAAGGGAAGCTGTATCTGGTATTTCATCTTGAAATATACCAGAGAGAGACAGAGAGATGTCAATATATGTAACACCAGGGGGGAAATGCTGGAAACAGTTTTCTGATTCGGAAGCAACTAAGTTTGTTCAGATGAGTATAACCAATATTTATCAATTATCACCATTATTCAAATACAGCCTTTGAAATCTCTAAGTTACGTTAAAAATTAATCATGTGATAAATTCCTGTGGGGGCATTAGCTATGGAAACGTCTTCAAAATGAGCTCTCTCTGCAGAAGATCATCTGGTCATGAGCTTCCAGATGGATTAATCAGTACCCCTTATTTAAACGGATAATGATAATTTCTAAATTCTTAAAGGTGGAGGAGAGAGGGTATGCTTGCTGTGGTCTCTCACCTTTAAATGATATGATCATACCCCTACTTCTTTGTTGACTCCTGTTTTCTCACCTTCATTTTAGCACCAGCTCCTTGCGTCATTCTGTCTGATGTCTTTTCTACCAACCAAGCAAGCAGTTTTGTGTGTGAGCTGGTAAGCCAGAATATGCCTTTCTAAACTGAGAATGGCTTAACATGGAAGTCTAACATGGAAAATGAATGCTGATCATGAATAATTTTAAACATATATTTTAACGCTGTGCTTAGTACTTCACCCATTACTATTGAAAGATGTGGGGATTTATTTCCTGAGTTCATTTTCTTTCCTATTGATCTTTTAAGGATAGGTGACATGAATTCAAAAGTGAATTTCATCTTTGAATTCATTAGCTAGGAAAGCTTGTGAAATTTCCTGACTAATCAAGATTTTTGATTACTATGAAAAAGTTAGGTTGGAGTCATAAAAAGATAATTATTAAATAAGTATTCATGGAAGAGATTAAATTTAATTATTTTAAAGTTTTTAAAGAAGAGCAACATAAAAAATACTATAGTGATAATGAAAAATCATTTGCAGAGGAAAAATATACTACTGGATTCCAAACAAGAGACAATTTCAAAAGAAAATATTCAAAATTATAATTTGGCAATATGTAAGGCAAAATAAACAACCATTTGATTATATTTTAGATGTCCAATTGACTGTCTTGGTATCACATTTACAATTGTTTACATTCAAAAACAGTAAAGATATCTCAGACATGAGAAACTGGAGGAAAAGATGCAAAAAAGGGCTTCAGACTATACTAGCACAATGTGAAATCAATTATCAACCCAACTCTGTCCAGCACATATCCAGTGATTACAGATCTATAACCTCATAAATACAACTAAGATAACCTCATAAAGGGCAAATCTGTATTTCTCCATTATATCTATTCCCTTCTCAGAAATCTTAATGAAAGAAGATATTTCAGCCTTTTCAGCCATTCTAGAACATTGAACACCCTTGTGGTCAAGTTTTTCCTTATTGCAAATTCAATTCTTGCTTGCTGCCATGGAATATCTTTTCTTTTTTTTTCCAGGGGGTGTAAGTTGCATTGTGTTTTTGTTTGGAGGAGAGGACAGCCATGATAAGCTCAGTTTCACATTCTGATCTGCTGTATTATTTTTTTTTCTTAGCAACAGAGTCTTTTTTCTGTTGCCCAGGCTGGAGTGCAGTGGCACGATCTTGCGCACTGCATCCTCCGTCTCCCAGGTCCAAGTGATTCTTCTGCCTCAGCCTCCCAAGTAGCTGGGATTACAGGCCTGCATCACCATGTCCAGCTAATTGTATTTTTAGTAGAGACAGGGTTTCACCATGTTGGCCAGGCTGGTCTTGAACTCCTGACCTTAAGTGATCCACTGGCCTCAGCCTCCCAAAGTGCTGGGATTAAAGGCTTGAGCCACAGTGCTTGGCCTGCGCTGCTGTATTTTGAATGAACTCACTGGCATGCCCAGTTACATAGCTAGAGAAAATGATTTCAGGAGTCAGAGGAGCTGGGGGTGGAACTATCTGACTGAGGGTGACTGGCCTGGCTACTGAGAAATCAACTGATTTTTAAGTTTACATCTGCTTCCACTGGCAGAATATTCATGGGTCTTCAGTCGGTGCTTGAACCAGTGCAAGTGACAACTGGCAGTTTAATTGAAAGTGATCATATAGATAAGCAAAGCATTTTTCCACCCAGACAAACTTAGAAGGATCCAGAACATAGCTTGGTTCCGTGAAATATAATCTACATGAGAAAATGAATAACTGCTTATGGATTAGTTTGTTGATTAGAGTATTATAGTACTAGTCTATTCGAGGGTGAAAAGCAAATGCTATATATTGGAGAACTATAATAGCCTTTGTTATTTGAATTTAGTTTTAATTTTTATTTGTAGACACAGAGGCTTACTCTGTCGCCCGGGCTGGAGTACAGTGGTGTGATCATAGCTCACTGCAGCCTTGAACTCCCGGTGTAATAGCCTTCAGACTTACTTTTCGGGTGTATTTTTTCTTCTAATAGGACAGGATGTGAGCTCAAGATTATGCTGATTTTGAACTCTTTGAGAGCAAGCATCATATTTTACTTACAGTTTTTAATGACTGACACAGTAACTGGCATTTAATAAATAATAGCTACCACCCAAACACTCAGTGCAAATGTGCTAAAACACCATATACATATTACCTCTTTAAACTTTACAACAGTATTAAGAGGTAATTTTTATTATCCAATTTTACTGAGGACAAAACTAAGGGTGGAAGAGGTTAAGTAAATTTCCCAAGTAATACAACTGGTAACCTGACAGCACCATCATTTGAACCAAGTCTGTCTATCAAAGGTCGTCCTTTTAAACACTACATTATACTGCAACCCTTTCCCCGCAAATTGACACCCACCCCGATTAGTTGAACCATGAAGTGAAAAGGAACCATGAAAAGGAACAAAAGGATCAAGTTGTTGAGCGAGAGCATATATTATTCAATTTCTTTAGCAGCTCTTCAATTTGCCAAAAGGCAATTTCCTACTTAGTGGATTAGGTCTATCATCTGTTTTAGATGTTGCACATGTGACTTTGAGCTTTATAGTTAAGCAAATAGGATGATGCTTTTGTATTTAGTAATCTATTACTATGAAGTAATTAAGCTTATGCTCTTAGATGGCTTGGCAAAACAAACAATAGGCATGAAAGGAACATGCTGTAAAATCATTCTGTTTGCAGCAGCAGCAGCAGTAGCAGCAGCAGTTTTTTGTCTCTCTTGGGCTATAGGCTGTGATGAATGACGCTGGGGAATGACAGCTGTAGAAAGCAAAGAATTAACACAGTTTTTTGTAAAGTTAAACAAATGTAAATGACAAGACATCTAGAGGGACAATAATGGTTCAGAAGGACTATAAAGAGGAAGTTGTTTTTTACTGGCACAAAGGCTTGAGAAAAGTAATAAGGATGTTCATGATGAAGTTCAAAGAACTGATGAAAATGCAGAAAATGTAAGAGATTAAACTTATTCATGCAGAGGGTTAGCTGTGAGAACACTGACTCATACTGAAGGGAAATTTGAACATGAAGGTTTCTGTAAAGCTTGTGCTACACATTTTGAATAGTAAAAAGAAACAGAGAAGATTTGACATTTGTTTGGAACTTTCAAGGGGAGGTTGGTTGTAAAAAATAACAAGTATTTGAGGAGAAGAGTGATGGAATATGTTGTTTTGAAGTTGACCCCCTAAAAACTGTCAAAGTTTACAGGGAAAACTCCAATATCTATAGGACCCAAGAAAATACTTGTGTCAAAAACCACAGAAAAGAATTGTTGATTTGATAGCAAATGGCACTGTTCATGCAAAATTCATCCCACAGTGAATCAGGCTTATTATGTGAAAGTTGGAAGTATTTGGGAGGTTTTGTATAATATAAAAGACATAGCTTTATCACTGTAAAAATGATTTGGTTTACGCCGTTCTTTTAAAAAAGAGTGTTAGACTGAGAAGTGTATTATGTTACCCAATTTGGTCATCTGTTTTATTACCCATCTTGGCTCTTGAACCACCTGGGCTTGCTTCCAAAAATCAAACACTGCCTTAAAAGATTACAATTTACGCCACTGAGAATGTTCAAAAGAACATAATTCATTCTCTAAAATTAAATCCAAAAGAGTTCTTAAAATGTGTGGAAGCAGAATCATCTCCAAAGCATATTTTACTTACTGATTTCGAGGAATTAGCACTCGTACAAATAAGTCAGTATCAGTAATTTTATAAAACAACAATAACAACAAAACCCAGGCCTATTACTTTCTATTCACATCATGTTTTCCGTGGCACCCCCACTTTTTTTAAAATGCAGGTTAGTTGTTAAAAATTAGGCCAGTAGGACATCTGCTTCCAGGTAGATGGGGTAGATGTACTTTGCCCTATTTCTTCCATGAAGTACAACTAAAAAACCTTGGGCATTACACATAAATGTAAGAAGACTATGAATAATAAAGAGAAGGCAGACTAGCTAGGGACCTGGGGAACAAGTCACAGCATGGTGGTAAGTTCTCTGGGCTTATTTTTGTGTCACATATCACAGACTTGGAGCTGAAGAAGCAGACAATCTGAAAATACCAATAAGTATAAACAATCCTCCAACAAAAGTCTACTCTCTCTAACCAATGAATAGGAAAGATGCAGTCTAACAAGACAGAATGCTTTTAGACAATAACTCCTCCACTGAACACCATAGAGAAAAACTGTAGCCCTACCCCGAACAATGCCAGCAAAAGTCAAGTGTTGAACCTA